TGTCTACTTAAAAACTACAGGCCACGTCTACAAGCTGTTTTCTAGAGTCATTACGAATCGTTTCGCCAGAAGACTCGACAAGTTTAAGCCACCGGAGCAGGCTGTGTTTAGACGAAGATATGGTACCATAGACCACATACACACAGTGAGGCTGATTATACAGCCCCTATGTCTAGCCTTTGTGGACGTATGAGAAGGCCTTCGATTCCGTCGAGACCCTGGGCTGTCTTGGAATCCTTATAGTGATGCCAAGTAAACTTTCGTTATATCGAAGTGATGAGATGCCTGTACGACGCCGCTACCATGAGTGTCCAAGTACAGTGCCAGCAGTCTAAGCCCATCCAATTATACAGAGGAGTTAGACAGGGGAATGTCATATCCCCGAAACTGTTTACAGCCGCATTGGAAGATATGTTTAAGACGCTGGATTGGAAAAGGATGGGCATAAACGTAAACAGCTAATACATCTCACACTTGCGATTAGCGACATAGCCCTAATGGCGGAGTCGCTGGAGGAGCTACAACGAATGCTGGACAGCCTAGCACCCACCTTGGAATCGATTGGTCTCAGCATGAGCTTGGATAAAACGAAAGTAATGATCAATGATCATATTATCCCGAGGCCAATCGAAGTAAATGGCCACCATTTTGAAGTTGTTTCCGAATATATTTACCTTGGGCAGAGTTTGCGATTGGGTAGAAACAACTTCGAAAGGGAAGCCAAGAGGAGGATTCACCTTGGCCGGGCGTTGTTTGGTAAACTACGTCGAGTCTTCTCGTCACTCATACCGGTAAGTTTGAAAACAAAGGTTTTTAATCAGTGCGTTATACCTGTTATGATATACGGAGCCGAGACGTGGACACTTACGATATGATTAGTTCACCAGTTGAAAGTCGCTCAACGAGCTATGGACCGAGCTATGCTCGGAGGTTCTTTGAAGGACAACTTACGGAACGACCTTATACGACAGATGACTAAGGTCGTCGACATAGCTGGTAGAATAAGCAAGCTGAAGTGGCAGTGGACTGGCCATATCTGTCGAAGAACCGATAACCGCTGGGGAAAGCGGGTTGTTGAGTGTACACTACGACTCGGAAAGCGTAGTGTAGGATGCCCTGTGGGCCAGATGGAGTGACGATTTGCGAAGGGCTGCTGGCAGTAGATAGATGCAACGAGCTGAGGACCGGGCGAAATGGCGCTCATTGGGTGAGACCTATGTCCAGCTGTGGACTACATAGGCTGTTGATGACTACTGAGGTACCCTCTTTCCAACAAAAAAGAATCATCCAAATCGGTTCACAAATGCCATACTGCCAAATGCCGTAGTTATCGCGTAAAATACGTACAAAAACATACAGACGAATTGAGAACCTCCTCCTTTATTTAAAGTCGGTTAAAATACAATTTTTATTGTCAGATACCAACATCATAAGATAACATTAAAAACATTACGTGGCAATGTTTGAAGAAAATCAGTTAAAAGTGTTTCAAACAACGTAAATTCAGCATCTACTGTTTTTTTCCTCAATCTACTGTTTTTTCGATGCAATATCTTCCGATTTTTTCAGTTTTGACCTGGCAACACTGCTTGGGGCCAATCGTTGCAGATTCGCTCTGGACCTTTTGGACGGAAAAGTGTCGTTTTTATTTTGACTTTCAATTATTTTGTGAAATCTAGTTTAAAATGGAATAGGATAGTGCTATTGTGCCTTAATCGAAGATTAAAACGCGAAATTATACGAATCTCGAACTAAAATACCCGTATCGGCCCGTTCGAAGGAATCCAAGCACGCCGCCTCAAATTGCCTATCCTCTTTGTGGTGGCCATATTTACAGAAATATAATTAAACGTTTATGTTTTCGGCCGAAGGACTTTGTTTCCATGGCCAGCAATTAATTTAAAAAAAACAATCGATGCAAGCTTATCCAAATCTTAGAGGATGGAAAATCCAAATAGACTTAAAAGCAATAGACATGTTATAATGACATTATATAGATCAGACGTTATGTCTATCTTAGAGGATGGAAAAAAAAAGAGTCTAAGGTATATATGATAAGATTTCAAAAAAAACAACTCCTGTTATACCATGTTTTAAGCAAAGAAGCGTATGATAATAATTTTATTATTGATAATATTACTACTTTCATCTATGTCCAAAATTAAATGGAAGCATTAAATATTCACTTAAATCAGACACTGACATTAATTCTATACCAATGCATAAATACAAAAAGCTTACACTATTTGGAAACTGTTTAAAAATTTCTCTATGAAAATATGAATCTTGAGGTTGGAAATGTATAGGAGATCTCCAGATTTATAATTCAAAGAGTTCTCTTTTTTTATATACTCTCGAAATACATTTTTTCTGTGCAAATTCACTTTTCGTAATATTTGAGTATTTGTAAACGCAAAACAACAAATTTAAAATTTCATGCGACATTCCCGGATATTCCCATATAACCTAAAATATTACCAAATGGAATATTGATCTACTTTAATTAAATGTTTGCATGTCGGTAATGGCTTATCGATAGATTAAGGTACGACACTAAAGAAATCCGCCATTTATTCGTTCAATTTTTGTTTAGGTATGCACGTTCATTCCTTATTTAGGGCAGCTCCTTTCTTTTATTTTTTTCCATCCTCTAAGGGAACGCCACACATGAATTATTTTTAAGTTTCCCATATAATTTGTATTGGCTTTGTTTAACTTTCACATTCAAACCAATATCCGCTTCTTTGGTGATACTTTAATTTCATTAGTAAGGCATAGTATCGAATCTTTTTTCTCTCTCCCTATTTTCACAGTGCCAAAATGCCTTTGAGTGAAGGGAATAGAAGATAAGAAGTCGCTGTCTTCGTATTTGCTGGCTCGCGGTACGGCAAGAGAACCTCGCTTTTAAGAAATAAAAAGAACTAAGAAGACTGTTCTTGCGGATGACGGACATTTTTTTTCATTGAAAAACGCATTATTTTAAATTGATTTGTTTGCGTGTGAATATTCCCCTGGCGACGTACACCTCCAGCGTATACGGCCCTAACGAGGAGGAGGATTTCAAGGTACGGCACAGTTTTTCTTCATAATATTTCTTTCTATTTTTTATTCTTTATTTTCTCGATGCTATAGCCGTAAATCCAACTTTCCTTACCTTCTTCTAGAACCGCGCATTGCAGTCCACACCACCATCAAATTTAATAGGTTGCAAAACCTCGCAGTCGCTCCATTTTTTCATTGCCCCCTACGAGCCGGATCCTATAGCTTTCGTTTTGCACCGTAGTTGGTACCACCCGCCAACTTGTTTCATCTTTAAATCAACTTCTATTTATTGTGTCGGATTTCATTCTCACAGTTAACTAATCTATCGAATTACATAATTCATATGCGCTTATTGCATAGTCACACAATTCCCGCTAGTAATCTCGCTTACTCGCTCCCCGCACCAGTACAAAGGTTACATTGCACATTTCTTATATTATTTCGCACGCATAATTCGTAATTTTAATGTTTTATTGTACTACCTCCCGTTTGCGTATTCATTCCGCTCCGTCCGGTAGTGCACCTATGTTCCTACCGCCCGTCATCCGTGTCTCATTTCGCTATGTCATTGCTTCTTCCCGCGTATTTGTTCGTGTTCGTTGTATCGCTGAGTCATAACGTCGCTAGACAGCAGACCCGCTTACCACCTATTGAAATTTTGTCATTTGACGGCGATATTCGTAACTGGCCGCTATTTTACGCTAATTACAAGAGCGTAGTGCGAAATACGAAGATAAGCGTATGTTAACTTCTTCATATTTAAATCAATTATTTAATTTTAAACGCTTTAACGGACCATGTGCAAGTAATTTTGAAAGGTTTACTGACAATTTCGTCCCAGCTGTAAAAGGTTTAAAAAACTTAAAACTTCCCGCTTTGGATTATTTTATTTTATTTTATATCGCGACGCAGAAGTTGGATTCTGAAACCACACGTTTATTCGAAAGGTATTCGTCTGATGACAAAAATTCCTAAATTTGGTAATTTTGTGAAATTTATTAAAGAGCAGTATCGGATTTGTCAAAACACCGCCGCTTCTGATAGCAGGAATTATTCTAATCCAAATAGTTACCGCTAATAAAACTTATAATAGCAATAAAGGACATTTGAAACCCGCTCCGCAACCCCACTCATATCCCGTTGTTATTGATAGCAGTAATAAGTCGCAAAACAGTTTATTTAAAATTTTACACACAAACATCTTTATAAATGTCCCGCATTCGCTAATATGTCACCGAGTGATCGATTCAAATGTGTGAAAGAGCTCGACGCGTGTCTTAAATTGTTAAACATAAAGCACGCGGATGTCAGTCAGAGGTCAAGTGTAAGATATGTTTCAATAAACATCACACTCTTTTACATTTCAATAGTCCTTCGGACAGAGACAGACTGCGCCGATCTCACACGCGGCGCTAGCACCTACAACGCGCAGACGAATAGATAATGTCACTCGGCCGACGTTCAGCTTTGTAACGATTCCATTGCTGCTCCGCGCCTTTATAATACTATTGCTAATCACAGCACGCTCATACGTGACCGGCAATGTACTGCGCCCGCGACATTGTTGTTGTCAACTGCTACAATTATGATTCGGGATAACTCTATTAAGGAACAATACTTACGTTGTTTATTAGATAGTGGTTCGCCAACTAATGTTACTACTGTTGATTATTATGAACGTTGGGTTTAACAAAAAACTACGCTTGCATTTCCTCAGTTAAAGGGATTGGAGGGACAGAGAACGCCGTTAAGGGCTCTGTTACCTTTCAGTTTTCTTCTCGTTTTAATTCGCAAGTTAAATATAATAAATAATAAATAATAAAATAACTTTATTTCAGACTTTTGAAGGTGGTCCATATAAAAGTGTTAGTAAAACAAAATTAATATCTTAAGGACCTAAATATTAGTACACAATAAAAATCCAATGAAAAAATAAAAATTAGAAACATTAACATCGTTCATATTTTAACGTGCAATGACTTCCACCGGGCCAACATTGGGCTGTCCGAGCAGCTCGCAAACACGCTCAGGATACGGTTGGGGCTGGCGTGTAACCGTGCTTCCAGGGAGGCACACCTCTTCCTCATCACGGCTGCGAAACCGTCAGTCCTCGCCTCGGTGAATAAGCCGGACGCGCTGCACCGCCGCGGCAGCCCCAACAACACACGGAACGCGTTGTTGTATTGCACGCGAAGTTCATTGTACGCCCCCTGCGTGTAGTCCAACCACAGGCCGCACGAGTAAAAGGAGACACAAAAAGCTTTGAACAAAGTAATTTTCACATCCTTTGAACTCCGCGCGAACCTGCGGGCTGCGGGATGTTACATCGGACGGCCAACGACCTCCGCTCCCGCTCTATGTCTAGATTATCGCTAAAGTTATCAGTGACCCAGTGACCCAAATATTTAAACTTTGTAACTGTTTTCAACGGAGAACCTGCGAGAGTGAGCCTCGGCACAGTATGGGTTTTGCTACCTACCTTGAAAACCATCAACTCGCTTTTACTAACATTATATTTGAGTCCATGGGCCACCGCATAACGTTCACAAATGTGCAGAAGACGCTTGAGAGCACCTATCGAGGGGCTCAGCAGCACCATATCGTCTGCGTAGCTGATATTCTTGACGCAAACGCCTTCAACGTGGCATCCGACTTTGGTATTGCTGAGCTCCTCGATTAGCCCGTCCATATAAAAATTAAATAGTCTCGGACAGATTAAGCACCCCTGGTTCACCCCGCACTCCAACCCATACTCATCAGAGAGAGACCCCGCCCATCTCACACTATTCTTCTGGTGGTTATACCAGTACCTTAAAAGGGCCGTGATCTCACAAGGCAAGGTTGTCTGCCGTACTACCTTGTCCCACAGCACATCGTACGATACCAGATCGAAAGCCTTCGACAAATCCGACTGGCGTCGTTCCAGCTGTGTAGTACTGGACCGTGCGCTTCAGGCATAAGATAGCACTCTCCGTGGACAACCCTGGCCTAAAACCAAACTGCGCATTATTTAAACGGAGGTGCTTATCCAAGTGACCATTCAGCATACTATCCAGCACATTGGCTACAATGGTTGCTAATGAAATTGGCCTATAATTGGATAGTTCAGATGAATCACCGGTCTTATTTTTTACAATAGGCACCACAATTGTACGCATGAGATCGCAAACGCAAACACTCAACATAGCCCCGCATTAGGGAAACCCTGTGTCGCGGGTGCCACAGACACACATATAGACAACCACAAATTACACCCAAACTCACGAGAGAAACAAATGTAGGCCATACAAATATTTCTCCCGGCCCGGGAATCGAACCTGGGACCTCTGCGTAGCAGTCCGGCATGGCAACCGTTCAGTCACGGAGGCAGTTAAATAACAGTGGTTAATGCATAGTGTATAGAACATCGCAAGTATCTTAGGTAAGTGTACCCCAGCATGCTGCAGGTGTTCAAAGCTGAGACCGTCATGCCCCGGCGACTTACCTCTAACCATAGATTTTATTATAGAAACTACTTCCTTTGTAGAGATGGTTACAGTGTTCTCCGAAACGCCGGCCCCAGAACTAAACTCCTGAGAAGAGTCCACTCTAAAATGGCTTCGGAAGAGGTTGGCTATGCCCCTATGGTCATGGGCTCCCGTGACAGTAACCGGGACATCTGGCTTGCGATTTAATTTGTTTACCGATTTCCAAAATGGTCCAAAGCTTTTATAGGAATGGTGTTTATAGCGATTATGTCATTCTTAATTTGCTTTTCATTGTTTTGACATCAATTCAATTTAGCCTTGAACAGCTTTCTGGATTGACACATCTCATCATGGATAGAGCCCGATGAGGGTTTACCGTGCACAGTGTTGGGCAAAATTTAATTGTTCTGGCAATTAAAGATTGACAATTGATTAATTGTCAATTGCGAAACAGCAATTAACGATTGATCAATTGTTAGTTGCGGTTCTCGCAACTAACAATTGATCAATCGTTAGTCGCAAATATCTACAATTAACAATTAATCAATTTTCAATCTTTTCAATGTTTTTGATTAACAATTAAAACTGACAATTATGATTAATTTATGATTTATTTAATTTATAGAGTTAGGGCGTTGGTTGTGGGGGCCTGTTGGGGGCCCCGGTTGAGGGCCCCAGTTGGGAACCCCGCTTGGGGGCCCCGGTTGGGAACCCTGGTTGGGATCCCCGGTTGGGGGCCCGCTTAGGGCCCTAACCGGGGCCCCCAACCGGGCCTCCAACTGGGACCCCCAATCGGGCCCCCAACCGGGCCCCCCAACCGGGGCCCCCAACCGGTGCCTCCAACCGGGGCCTTCAACCGGGGCCCCCAACCGGGCCCCCAACCGGGCCCCCCAACCGGGGGACCCCAACCGGGCCCCGCAAATGGGGCCCCCAAGCGGGCCCCAACCGAGGCCCCAACCGGGGCCTCCAACCGGGGCCCCCAACCGGCCGGAATTGATTTTAATTGCAAATTTAATTGCAATTAAAATCAATTCAATTGAAATCAATTGCAATTGATTTTTTAATCTGATTGAATTATTGATTGAAATTTAATTAATTAACGCCCAACACTGACCGTGCAGAATGCAGTTTTGGAAATCTAACCTAGCCCTCTCATGAGCCTCACGGACATAACGGTTCCTACCCGTGACCTGTTTTCCCTTTTTTTCTTATTTACATCTAAACTAATCAACGCCGCGTCTGTCAGAATAGATACAATATATTTTATTGCAACAATTACTAAGGTCTTGAGGAAAATCAATTTGCTTCAGTTTAATGTTGCAATAATCGTGATACTTGGCAATCTGAGTAGAGTCTCGGTCACCCCACACCACCGTACTATTATTATAAACATGTTTTAAACTTTTTGGCTTAATTAGATCAATATTACATTGCACTACAACAGGAAAATGATCCAACCAGTACGTATCATACAGAATTGACGTATTTACTACAACTTGCCTCGCGGCACTAGTCACGATACAGTGGTCGAGCCACCGCCTGCAACCGTGCTCCTCGCTCACAAAAGTGTGAGTCCATGGGTAAAAGTTCTAAATCAACACAAGACCAAGATTGTTCAGCACAAAACTGTGTTAGTTCAATATAAAAGGGCTCACCGGGATGCGCGTTAAAATCTCCCAACAATAACATAGATTCTGTATCCTAACACTCAATTATAGCATTGATCTCCGCCAGGCAGTCCGTGAATTCGACCATATTGTCATTGCAGTCTGTCGGCATATAAACTGAAAATATCAACAACGCACGATCTTGTAACGACTCTTTACTCAATAGCAGCCAATCGGACACTTTTACACTCAATCACAGACACAGCAGCGAAATACAACGCTTCTTCGCTCGTTGTCGACAATATTTCTGACAAGACAACTTGCCTACCGCGCCTGTTGATGTTACCGCTTTGCCTTATTTACAAGGATCACCGGTCGCTGATAAGTTGTTTGACGACCCAGTCGTATTGATGTTTTAATCGGGGCGCAACTATTCCCGCTTCTTTTGTTACCGCGCATTGTAAATGGTAATTCTGCATCGCCTCCCGCTATACAAACCGTACTTGGTTACGTTGTTATGGGTACGGTGCCCGCTTTACTCACACATAATAACAGCGTGTCGCTTACTTGTATGCACGCTGTTTCTTCTTCGGATCGAGACTTTTTGGAGTCAATGTTAAAACAATTTTGGCAGCTCGACGAGGCCCCTACTGCTCGCTCGCTCGCTCGACGACCAACTCACTCGATGAAGAGAAGTGTGAATATTTTTACACTGAGACTAACACGCGCGATCCGAAGACTGGAAGGTATACAGTCGGATTACCGTTTCGAGACGACGTTTTTAAACTTGGTAAGTAGCTCGACTGTGCTAAATGTTGCTTCTTTTACTTGGGAAAAAAGTTAGATTCCGCTCCCGAATTACGCTCTGCGTATGATAACGTGATTCGAGAATATTTAGATAAAGGTTATTTGTCTCCCGCACCGCTTGATAATTTAATTGAAAATCAGCCCGCTTATATTATACCTCATCACGCAGTTGTTCGCTTAGACAGAGCGACAACTAAGTTACGCTCGGTTTTAGACGCAAGCTCTAGGACCAGTTGTGGAGTCACGTTTAATGATATTTTACATAGCGGTCCCAAACTACAAGTTGACTTGTTTACTATTCTTTTGAATTTTCGTTTGTTTGCCGTCGCGCTCTCTGCTGATTGCCGACAAATGTTCTTACAAATTGGTATAAGAAATTGTGATCGTCGCTTTCAACAAATTTTGTATCGCTTTTCAGCCGATGAACCTTTGTTATTGTATCAATTCAATCGCGTGTGTTTCGGCCTTATAAGAGTCCATATCACGCGCTTCGCACCGTGCCACAGTTAGTCGAAGATGATAGTCATCTGTACCAGTGTGTAAAAGTGTTAGAAGTATGTAATATAAAGTATGCTCTTTTTCCTGTACGGATTAATTCATTTTAGGTTGGTCGTTTCTACAGTCCCGAATTTTTCTTTCGGTACAATCTTACAAAAAACTGAGTCACTCAAAATTTTAAAAATGACCTTTCATTCATTTCTAAGTATCATAATTATGAACTCACGCTTGACCAAATAAAAAGATTTATAATGGTTCCTTAGAAGTTTCCTAGTATCTCCTATGGTTTTAAGAATAAGAATAAGAATAAGAATACTTTATTGCGTAAGCACCGAGACACACATGATCTTAAAATTAAAATAGAACATTATAAACTTTAAACTAAAATACAGGACTTACAACAAAAGTTACAACATAATTATAATGATTAAAACAAAATAAAAAAATTAAAAAAATATTAAAAATGTAATAATAAATGTAATAATAAATGCGTGTCGCGGCGCACGCAAACGGGATTTGCTCAGCTATTAGCTACAGGCTCATAGATTTCAGCCTGCAGCGCTGGTTTTCAGCAAGCCCGATATGAGTGAAGCACGGACTCGAGCACAAACAAAACAAATACATGCCTAACATGTGCGTGAGGCTTGGTATATATAAAAATATTTACACTAGATATACATATAAAACGAATACATAGATAAATAAAACAGCATAAGTGTAAACTAATTTAATTACTTAATTAATAGGTATCACGTAATTCACGTCGCGAGACCAGATCAGTTTTTCGGCCAGATAAGATGGACTGTTATATTTTATTATTCCAGGTTTCGGATTTCCCCATACTATCCCAGCAAAAAAAAACATACTGTATATTAATGATAAGAGTAATTAAATCAAAGATGCATTATAAATTACATTGTTTAAAAATATGTTATATGTTATATGAAGATGTAATTAAGATTCTGTGCAGTAAGTACTAAATAATGTGTGAGAAATAAATAAACATTTCGAACCAAGAAAATAATATAATAATAGTGACTCAATCTTATGAAGGGTTCAATGATAAAACGGAAAGTTTGCAAAACCTTGGACTTGGACGATTGGCCTACGCTTCGAGTCTGGAACCAGTGAGGTAAGCGATTATTATCAGAGTGTGCTCTTTTGGTTATCCAAAAGGTATACCTTGTACTTAAATCTAAAGGTGTGCACTGATTTCAGACTTCGAAGCGGTGGCGGCAAGTCATTCCAGCACTTCGATGCGGCGAATTTGAAGCTACCACGAAACACATTGGTGCGATGTTGGGGGACCG